AAATAAATGAACTTTTTCCTTTTTGAGCGTGCTTTTAAATTATCCGAACGATTTCCCTTTGGTTATTATTATCCAGGGTATCATGTTACGACCCAATTACTTCTAACCAAAGCAACGGCACCCCCTGCGGGAGCACTCCGTTATTTTGCTCGAAAGGGTATGTCCCACTGAACTCACAGGGTATGGTTTTTAGGGCCTTGACCAGAGATTTGCAAGGGGATACAATTTTTAAGAACGTGAAGGTTGGCGTGAGTGCTTTACAGTACATTTATTAAGATTTTTTCCGAAAAGAATTTAATTCCATGATGTTGGTTTAAAAAGGTACTTATAATCATTTCTTGCATGCAAAATAAATAGGGCTACCAAAATGAAGTCTCTTGTCTTAAAAAGAGTAGCGAAATGAACGAACAGGGACAGGGCCTGCAAGCTTACACGGTTCACCTCTAACCAAACTTTTCTTCAAGTGTCTCCCTTTCCCCTTATAAAGGTCCTCTGCTCACGTGTTTTTTTTCTCAATTTTTTTGTTTGACTATTATTTATCGGAATTGTTTTTCTAGGTCATCGTTTTCTAGGTCGTCGTTTTCTAGGTCATCGTTTTCTAGGTCGTCATTTCCTAGGTCGTAGGTCTTCGTTTTCTAGGTCGTCGTTTTCTAGACACCCCTACTACAAGTACAATTGTGTTCGGAAATACGTCACCTAACACAAAACCGCCTTATTTGTTTTCTGCGTTCCAGACCAAATAACTGCCCTTAGGCTCTACTAAGAAGGAGGGGGTAATTGATATTTTCCTTTTCTTAAAAATCTGTTGACACTGGCATCTCTAAAACAAAACTGATAGACTGTAAACATAAAAGATAAATTAAATATTTCGTAAAAACTATTTTATAAAAATATATTCAACATGTCAACAGCAACTCACAAAAAGGAAATGACCATTTTAACCCTCCCGGTGTCAGTAGCTTGACGCGGCCAACTTATTCCCGACTAATTGTCTACGACGTAATCATGCAATGTAATTTGCAATACAAGTGCGATAAGTGGGCGCGTTGTGATGTATATCGTGGGATATATTAAAGTTGAAGCGGATTTCAGCTTGCCGAAAGTAAAATAAACTGTCTTTAGCTTTTATAGTCGACGAAAAGCTTCCTTGTGGCGCGATTTCCTCTGTTAATTGGAGAAATGGCTTTGAAGAACACAAAATATAACGAGTACCCATATCGATGTGCACTGCATGGTGGAGCGTGGGCTGAATGAAACCGCATGAAGATTGCCAAACACCACAATACCGCAAAATTACTTAAAGTAAGGCGCTAAAAATGTAAAACTGTACCATACTCTCCCCTCCCCGAGACAAACAATTGATTCCAAATACCCCACCGTGAGTAAGAGTACCTAGAGGGAACGCAAATTCCCAAAGGGGATGGTCACACTTCAAATTAACTGACCCATTGTAGTTTATTGCAGGCCCTTTCACAGGAGTTGAGGGTGTTTCGTTTTCCTGTTGAGTGTATTTCGGTTTCCAAAAAATAGAGGATTACTTGGTTCTTCTCCCATTCGTGGTTGTTTCCTTTTTACTTGTAGGTCTCTCCGATTCAGCTTCGTATTTGAGAATCTTTTTTGTGGTTATGAAGTACGTCATAAGCAAAACTTTCGGTTGAGAAACTTGGGGTTGAACAAAAACCCAGTGGAAGTACTCCGGATTTCAAGTGACGGCGATGATCGAAGGATTTTTTGGGATTGAAATGTTCGATTCCGGGATTTTTTGGGGTAGGAAAATTTAGCAAGTATTATCTTGGGCGGCTTGATATAACTGAAGATTCTAGATTGGAGTTTTTCTTCGCTCGTTTTTGAAAGACCATAACTTTGGTCTTTTTGGAATTCATATCTAACATCCAAGAGTTGCAGAAAGAGGATAATGTGTTGAGACAGTTCTGTAATCCTATTTTAGATCGTGAAATAATAATTAAATCATCAGCATATAAAAGCGAATTTAATTTGGTACCATTTGGAAGGATGATAGGGTCTGATAAAGTATTTTGAAATGCGGACGGTAAGTCATTAACGTATAAATTGAAAAGTAAGGGGCTTAAAATACAGCCCTGGCGTACGCCTCGTGAATAGCTAAAAGATTTTGTTTGACTCGTACCTATTTTCAATGCACACGAAGAGTTTGAAAATAGGTTTTGGATTAACTTATAGAAACATCCCCCTACATCAATTTGTAATAATTTATATAAAAGTCCGTCATGCCAGACTGAGTCAAAGGCTTTTCTAAAGTCAACAAAACAAGCGTATACTTTCTCACCGTGACAGTGTACGTACTTGTCTATAAGAGTTTGTAATGTTAGGAGGTGGTCTGATGTTCAATTTTTCAGTAAGAAGCCGATTTGAGATTTGTGGAGTATGTTCAGCGAAGTGACGTGTTTTCAAGAAGTCTTTGGTTTAAAATTGAAAAGAACAACTTTCCTAGACAACTAGAAACACAAATCCCGCGGTAATTTGATGGGTCATTTCTTACGCCAGATTTAAATATGGGAGTTATAAGACCGTTGCACCAATTTTTAGGCACTGTTCCTAAGTTAAGAACAGTGTTAAAAAGCTTATGGTAAACAGGTAGCAGTGTTGGTAAGCTAGCTTTAATCATTTCGTTTCTTATTTTGTCGGAGTATGCAGATTTGTTATTCTTTAATTTTCTTGCTGCCTTGCTTATTTCAGCTTCTGTTATGAAGTAGTCTAGAGGTCGTGATTGCATTAAGATGTCTTCTCGTGTTCTTAACTCATTGACAACTTTCTGTTGCTCAGAAGTAAGTGGCTTATTAGAATGTAGACACTGTGGTATAAGTTTTGTTCGCCCTTCTGATAAATAACATTTAGAGCTACCGTGAAAAAAAAGAAAAATTAATTAAACGTATTAAAAGGCAAGAAAGTTGAATTGCGAGGAATAAGCAAAGGTAGTATTTGCTGAACTGATTTTCGAGAAGGAAAAACCTTATACATGTTAAATAAGAAGCTTAATATGTCTTCGCCCTTCAGTGGGTCCGGCTATTAAGGACGAGTTTAAATTTGTGGCTAAGAGACCACAAATCCGAGATGGAATGTCCGTCTTAAATAAATCCGCATGGATTTCTTTCTTTTTTCTTTTTTATCTTTGTTTATTTTGCTAAATGGGGAAAAGACGAACTACATCAGTCAAATACTTGTTAGATAAAAAGTTGCGCTGAAGAATTTTGCGCCTTGGAAATATGAAGATAGGGATCAAGATTTATCTAAAACAGTTCATGACCGAAATTATTAACCAAAATACCTTACGTCAGTTTGTAAGCCTATTAATGCACTCACGTGAAACATAAAAAAAGCGATGCAAACAACAGGAAACTTTTTGAAAACAATAATAGTGTGGCTTGTCTAAAAGGTGCACAAATAACATATCATTGAACAATATTATATGCTTGTTACAGGTAGGAAAACCTTTCACTAATTATAAAATCTAATTTATCAAATTTAGCCTACCTGTATTTTCACGAAGGAAGAACTTCTCTTTTTCGCTTCACTGTAACTGTTTCACTAAGTCGTATCTTGATATGATGATATGAAAGGGGCGTCAACTGATTATACAGCCTTTGACAAATCATGTGATCAAAAGGACACGACGCAATTGGTTAATTTTATTTTAAGAAATTGTGTGTGATGACATTCTGCCTAAAAATATCTTTTATTCGTAAGTAGTTAGTAAAATGGGGGCACTAAGACAGTTCTTATATATTTTGCTGATATATGCACTTTTTTGGTGGTTTAGGACAGTTTTTATATATTTGGCTGATAAATGCACTTTTTGGGCGGTTTAGGACAGTT